ATTGAAAGCAGTCATGTGGAGTTATAGAGTTATAGTCATGTTATTGTAATATTATGTTGTAGTATGTTGACATTTGAGGATTATTTGTCATTTTCTCCCTGTCAAGAATTCACAACACTGTTTAAGCATTTGGTTTTCTAAATGACAGTAAGAGTCAATTTGGCCTAGAATCAATGTAGTTTATCCAATGCAATCAAATTGAAGAAGAACACATATAGTATAGGAGAGTTGATTTCAGTTGACTACAATAACCAACTGTAATTCTCTTCTCAGGCATCATCAGAGTAAAAACAGCATCAGCATAGTCAACAATCAAGATAAAGACTGGCATTGTTCTTTGGCATCAGTGCACACTGGGGCAAAAACTTAGACCACAAATGTCTGTGTCACACTGCTGTTTCTACAGGAACAACATGCTTCAAGTGGCTGACTGGTTGGTGGTGGTGGACACAGTCAACATCGCAGACAACGCTGCAGGGAAACGTTACAGAGCACTGCAGGTCCTCTACCACCCTCGCTTCAACAAATACAACAACGACTATGACGTGGGCCTGCTGCGCACCATCACTGACATGGACATGAAAGGTAAGAGGAGGTGGCTCCATCTGTTGGCAGGAGTGTGCAAAAACACATCATGTACCTTGTTAGACGTCATAAATACTTTACGCTCATTGTACTTCCAATTGCACAACATAGAAACAGATTCCAAAATAGGCCTGACTAAAAAGAAATATTTCAGTTTTAAATGATGGGGTCTTGAATTTGTATAAAAGCTCTTGAAAATGTGATATTGATGGCTTCCCTAAAATGGCTAATACTGTTACTGTTACTTCTAAAATGCATTATTCAGTTTACTGCATAATATACAGGTATTAGCATGCTTTGAATTGCTTAAAAAAAATACAATCAAGGTAATGGTGCAACTCTAACATCATAAAGCTAACTAGTTGTCATTGTTGTGAGTGTTTTTGTAGATACGTTAATGTTACATAAAACAATGTTGTAAACCCATCCTGGAAAACATTAACCACTCTCACTCACTGTTATTGCCAAAACCAAATGTGGCTTAAGACGGTGTCTAGGTAAATACCTGCAGCAAATACCAGTTTGCCATCTGTTGGTATTTTTTTCTATTTTCTTTCTGATGCCCCTGTGGGCTGGAGGAGGAGGTTAGTGGGGTAGTTGTAACATGTGCTTATATCACTGTGCTATTGTAGTATTGTCAAAATAAGCATTTAACAGAAATTTAATACATCATGGATACAAACTGTTCAAAAAGTACTCAGATACAAATTAAATTACACATTTAAACTCCTACCAGCTACCTTTATACAGATATGTGAGTATGCAGTATAAAATACATTTGTATTTCAATACTTTTGGTTAAATACAGCAGATCTGTGTTGATTATTATTTTTATTGCAATGCCATTTCTGTGTTAAAACACTTTTAAAAGCCCACGAAAAAAACCCCACAAAGACAAAATCTGCTACATGCTTGTAAGGAAAGCAAGAGAAGCTTTTTTTTAAGTATGTAGAGAAACTTGGCTTATAAAAAAAATGACAATATATGTGTGATAACCTTTATGTCTTTATTGCTTTGCTCATAAATGTAAGATTATGTTACAATCTGATTACTGTGTGCTGTTTGCAGATGGGGTGCGACCGGTCTGTTTACCCAGTCCGAGCGAATCTTTTCCAGCCGGAGCGGCCTGTTGGATCACAGGCTGGGGATATATTAATGAAGGAGGTGTGTTATACTTAAACCCTCTGATGGTGCTTTTGATTCCTGACAGCACCTTCTTTGGTCCTGGTTCTTCCATCCTCTTAAGCAGTGCCATTGCTTTTTCCCCAAGAAACTACAACCAATAACTTCACAACTTGCAAACCTTAATAGAAACAGTCAACTAAAATCAGTGAGGAGAATAAAAAAAGAAGACTTTCTAGCTTTGAAAATATATATTTCAATACAATTTTGTTCTTGCGTGTGAGACGTTCTGATACAAAAATACTTGAGAAGATCATTTAAATGATGACACAGAGTGAAAAGCAGACTTCGTCCTTGTAATGTGCTCCTTTGGGGGCCCCCTGGCAGCTACAAGAAGCCTGAAGCAGCTGCTTAGTGTATGAAGACGCTGTTGAGCTTGTTAGCTGCAGCCTGTCTGAGTGATTTTAGACACGGCATTTTCTTTACCTCCCTTTGATTCATACGTTTTCATCACAGCTACTGCCCTGTCTTCCTTTCTTTTCTTACTCTGTCAGGCTTTGTGTCAAATGAGCTAAGGCAGGCTCAGGTCAAGGTAATAGCTCAATCCGTCTGCTCCAACGCGAGTGTCTACGGCGTGTACCTAACCCCTCGAATGATCTGTGCTGGCACCATGGATGGAGGAGTGGACTCCTGCCAGGTATACACCCAGTGGTATAAAATCTCCATATAAACCTACCTGATACAGAATAGTTTTTAACTTTACAATAGATAACCACGGTCAAACTCAAGCATCAGTTTCACTTCAGTCACCATTAAATCATCCTGTTTAAAGGGAGACAGTGGTGGACCCCTGGTGTGTGAGACAGCCAGTGGGGATTGGAGGCTGGCAGGGGTGGTGAGCTGGGGCGAGGGCTGTGGTCGGCCCAATAAACCAGGCGTCTACAGCAGAGTAACCCAACTGATCCAGTGGGTCAACACATATATAGAGGTACTGTATAGAGTGATGCCTCTGTCTGTGTTTCACTGTATGAATGTGTCATGGTCAGTCATTTTATAGTTTAGTTATGTCAAATAAACTGGATTTTTTATGTGCTATTTTCAAATTTTAAATGGGAATGATATTTTTTATTTTGAACCGTGGACTCTGGAGGGAGAACAATTTGAGTGTGTTATCATGTGTTACTCCTATAAAGCAGGTTACACTGGATTGCCTCATATATTGTCTTATAAACTACATGTTTTTTTTAACCCTTAAATGGGCAAGCAAATATAAATGTTTTTTGGAAATGTAATGCTGTTTTCTAGTGTATCTAGGCTAAAATAACACAATTTCATGATATATATTTTTTTAAATATGACCTTTATTTTCCAATTTTCAGACTATATCTCCCAAGATACATTGTCCATTTAGGGTATAAATATAACATTGGTCCTACTAGTTCATGTGCCAACTTTTTAAACATTTTCTAATCAATTAATAAACTACTGTCTTTCATATTTTGTATAAAAAGAAAGAAAAGAAAAGTTATTCACATATGTTCTGAACACCTTCTATAACTGTGACTATAGAAGTAACCTTATTATGTAATATATGTAACTATATGTGATTTTAACCAAACTTCTGAGTTTATCAATAAATTAAGAGTAAAAAAAGAGTAATCAGTATTTCACACCTTTATATTATTGATTATCAGTAGAGTATAGGCTTAAAAGCATGCATATATATGTGTTTGATTATCCCTGTTTTAAAACCTTGTATCCTCCAGAATACGGACATTTAATTCTGAATTATCAGAGCTGTTAAAATGTAATGTAATCATCCTTAAGAAACAATATTTTCTCAAACAGTCCACCCAAAATATAATAAAAAAATAATAACTTGTGGTTTTGTTCAGGCACTTAATGACCTTCCCCCCATGCACAGTCTGTAAAATTACTATATCCCCTAGAATACAGAAAGAAAAAAAAAAGTAGCATCTTTTATATGTTTCTCCTTCCCAGTATCTGTTCAAGAAATGTTTACACAAATCAATAAAGAGTAGAGACTGTGAATAGACTAATTGGCTCAGTAAGCTAGATGAGAGTATCGAATGGCAAGTGTGGGGCCTACTGTCACTTTTTATACTATGCTGGATTTGTTATTGGCAGAATACATTTGAATTTAACACCTTTCCTTTATGGAAATCTATACTATATTTTAAATTTTGCTGGCATTTTCACTTTTGTGTTTTTGCTGCAGAACAAACCAGAGGAGACCACGAGAGCTATGACCGACACCTCACTGAAACCTGACACATAATAAACAATAAAGAAGCAAATCATCTATATCTGCTTATTTGTGTTGTTTCTCATAAAATAAAAATAAAAATCATTATAATATTATGGTAATAGGCTTATAAAGTGTGTCCCTCAGCACATATCTTTGTTATATGTTGTACATGTTGTTACATATTTATTTTTTTAACCTCATAACCTCATAAGTCGCACACATGAACCAATTGATCTATCTCACTGCCAAGCCTTATCGCACCTGGTCATTATAGTAATCCAAGCAACATTTGTTTACATCATTTTAGTTTTGTCCCATTTTCCCTAATGGGAAATAATGCTGTATACAGAGTGTTACTAGATAGATAGAAGCATGTGTTTTCATTGGTTATGATGCTGTCATATTTGACACCTTCACAACTGTAATTAAATTAATTTGAAAAGTGGCAAATATTTAAGGCAAACCTACATTTGACAGACATATAATAATTATAAATCCTGACTGCATCTATTTACTTAAAATAAATGTTTATTTTTAAATAGTGCTGGTTAATTCTGGTGTGCAACGCATATTAAAAGTTAATATATTAATTTTATTTAGAATTTTTTGACCTGGGACTTAAAGTGACTCTTACTATATTGAATGTGTTTGGCATATTATACAGTCCTTTGCTGATGATAAAACCTTGCCAAAAGCTTAACATTACTGTTGATTTAATTCTAAACTCTGAATATATTTCCTTTTATGTGCATATTTTTTTATAATCCATACAGAAATAGCATGAAGGCATTCTTTGCGTCCTGTGACTGCACTTTTTATGCTGCACTAACACACACACAGTGCAGTCTCTGCTTGTAACCAGCCTTTACTTTGGGTTGCATGAGATTGCCTGATGAAGTGTATGTCAACAGTGTCACGTAGGCCACCGCTGCAGCCGACGCTACCATTGTGTATGCGGTGCGTGCGTGTGCGCGCGCGTGACTCATGCACTAGCGATACTCGTGCACGACTGCAACAGACGGTAAAGACTCAGTAATGACCCGTGTGGTCTGTGAGCTGAGACGGCAGTGTGGGAAGTTGACCTGCAGGACTATCCCACTTTTGGTGTTGCTCAATAACAAACACTGGTTATGGCACTAGGTACAGCTTTAAAAGAGAGAGGCACTGTCACACCACTGTTGACTCTGGCTTCATCCAAGGTGAGAGTTTAGCTTTTTAAACGACTCTGAGTCTGAACTGTGAGTTTGTTTTTGGAGGTAAACGCGGATACATACCGGTGCAGACGCAGACGCAGACGCAGCCGCAGCCTCCGAACTGCAGCTGGTTGTCAAAATATTTCTCCCTTTTGGATATTTATAGTTTATAATCTGGCAGTGCAGCTAGGGCAATCGCAAACGGACGACAATGTGCTCGGTAATAAGCAGGGTGAGACCGGTTCAACGGGCTCTGGCTCTCACGCGTCGCCTGAGGACAAGCACCGAGGGTTCGAGTTCCGCTGCAGCCGAGAGAAGGCGCTTCTGTCCCGGCGTCAGTAATGGCATTCACCCGCTGCGAGCACCGAGCAGGTCGTACTGCTCCAGGATGGCGCTCACCCAAGGACTGCTCTTCAGACAGGTAGGTTCATATTAATATGCTGTTCTGCTTCAGTTTAGGCTGCCGTGTCCGGTCCGACAGGCCAATAAAAAGCAGCAATGTGTGTAAATGTGCTGCTTGCAGCTAACGCTAATAGGAAGTGGAGCTAAGCGGAGGTAGCCGATAGCTTTAATATCTCGCTGTTAAGTTGTAGTTCGTTTAAATTGAAGCAAACTAAGTTATGAGAGTCATCTATGTGGGTTGTGGTGGTGAAGCTTTCTCGCTGAATCTGCTCAGCGTTTTTTACAATAACGTTAGAAACCTTGTGTACTGTAATGTGGCTGAAACATGACACTGCAGTGGAGATCAGTGCCTTGTCCTGCCTCCGTTTTAGCAGAGGAGAGAGATTTTCTGAGTTGGACGATTATTATTGGCCTGAAGAGCAGCTGACAATACGATGCCAACTCAAGGTCCACCTGATCTCTTTATCTGCAGCTCTTAACTTTATCACATGGTCCTGTGTGATATGTTCAAAAGCTCCAGAACAAGAAAGTAAGTGGATCTTGAGTTGTGGTTGTATTGCCAGCTACTTATTTATGTGTTAAGTTAAGGTTTTTATGTATTTAACACGTGTCATTTGAGAATAGAAATTAAATGGAATTGGAATAATCTTCCACTTTTGTTTTTAGATCTATTACCTCTTTCCGCTGCCTCAAGACTCTTTATTTTCTCATCTAAAAACAACTTGTTCTTGCTTTTGTGTACTTAATCTTAATCTTCAATCCATTCTAATGATCTTGATTTATTATCCGGGTCACTGTATCCAATTTTCTTGTTCAACAACTGTGGATTGAGTGTGTAGATGGGAAAGGGTTTGTTATGTAATGCTGTTTTTGTGTGTTTTAGTTTGTATTCGCCCCTTTAGGGCCCCCTCGAAAAGAGACGCTGCAACTCAAGGGGCTGTCCTTTCAATACAATACTAAAAATACATATTTATGACTTACACTGCTTTCCAGATACTTCAAAAGCACACATTCTGCATCAGCAAGTAGCTCCACGTCATGTCTTTTATCCCTTTCTTACTCTCTTACCATCTCACATGTATAAACCCGCACTAACAGAGAACGACAGGGAGGATGTGCATCATTACCGACCGTTGCCATCCTTTGTGATTTACTGCTGAGTCACTCCTGTGCCCTCACTTTTTTTTTTTCTCTGTTCAGCTGTTCGAGTCGGAGAGCAGCACCTACACCTACCTGCTCGCAGACACGGAGACCAAGGAGGCGATCCTCATCGATCCTGTGCTGGAGACCATTGACAGGGACCTGAAGCTCATACATGAACTGGGGCTCAATCTGAAAGTGGCAGGTATCTTAAGAGATATGATGTTATTTCATACATTGAGACAACTGTTTATTTCCGTACGTGTCCACCACAACTATAACATTTAGGTTGAATCAAGGATAATTTGTCCCACAAACTGGAACAAAATGTCTCAGATTTTGTTACTAATAGGGGGTAATAATAGCCCTGGAACTTTTTTACTTTTACCAAGATTATGATCTTAGTTAGACCAATGTACCCTGTAGATTGTGCGTTACTCATGTCTGAAGACCCCTAGGGCAATATTAATAATTAAATGTTTTGCTATACATAACACAATATGTAAAACTGTATGCTATATGTATGTACATAAGAAACATTCACACAAGTGATGGCGTGGGTTCCACAGACAAAACGCGTATAAAACAAAAAAACCTAATTAATAACTTAAGCTGTTTTTGTTTTTTTTATTAGATTTAACTTGCGATCATCATTGTCATCTTTTATTTATTTATTTTTGCTCTGCTAGTAAACACCCACTGCCATGCGGACCACATCACAAGCACTGGGCTGATGAAGAAAAGATTGGTTGGGCTGAAGAGTGCAATCTCCAAACGCAGCGGTGCCTCTGCAGACATCCACCTGTCAGAGGGAGACAAGATCGCCTTCGGAAAACACGTAAGAAGAACGTATCACTTATTTCACTGCATCCAGTCAATCGAATAAATGAACAAATGAATGAATGAATGAATTAACATTTTTTTTTCGTTTTTCTGGTCATGTACACGACCCATCCCCGTTACCCACAGCCATCAAACAGCAAAATACACAAACAACAACAAAACATAAATAAATATCCTACAATAGAAATACAACAAATATACAAACATACAAACAGACCCCTCCTAAGCACAATGCACAAATCCAAACAAGACAAAAACATCTGCACCCATTGGTGGTAATCACTGTATATTTGATCCATTTCAAAAAACAATAGTCTACAGTCCATATGGAGTCTGAGGACTGTATCTATCCTATGTTAGTTTTTCTCCTCCTCACCTGTGCTCTTTCAGCTCAGTATATGGATACAGACTTGCATGCTTCATCATTTTGGATCTGTAGCATCTGTTGCTCTGTAAAGATTTGTTTTTGCATGCCATCTGTTGCTCTGTAAAGATTTGTTTTTGCATGCCTTGTGCTGACTTTTGTCTCTTCTCCTCTCTAGTATCTGACAGTGAGAGAAACACCGGGACACACTGATGGGTGTGTGACGCTGGTGTCAGGGGACCAGAGCATGGCTTTCACTGGGGACGCTCTACTCATCAGGGGCTGTGGCCGGACAGACTTCCAGCAGGGTACGCTAAATCCCATATCAAATGCCTGTTCTTGCTGTTCTTGAATTTCCATTCCTCCAACACTGCCTGAAAGAGAAACCATTTGTTTTGGTAATACTGCTAGAGGAACACAAGAGGGCAGTATTGCATCTGTTTTCTGTTGTCTAATCTTTACAAACTGCTGTCTCTCATTCAGGC